CACACACACACACACACACACACACACACTAGTAGTATATATATATTTGCTTGGACTGGCTGTGAGTTGTTTTTTCTAAACTAAAACCTCAGTATTCAAGTTTTATTTCATTGTTGGCACTTTGCAATAAATAAGTGGGTTTTGGGTTGCAGTTTGGGCACTCGGTCTCTAAAAGGTTCGCCATCACCGTTATAGACTCTAAATTTGTTTCTAGCCCTTGTTGGCTCACAGACTCAAGCTGTGGCCTTCATTGTCAAGGCAACTATTCAGAACTTGTGCAGTATGAAACCTTCCATAGAAGTATTAAAAGTCATACCTGAACTGTGTTATTCATGAGTTCAACATGACAGCAGTTAATTTTATTTGCTTCCAAAACAATAGACCCTCTATTAAATAGAACACCAGAAAGGTTTTAATTTTACTTCAGATACTTATCCATGTGCAGCTTTTCATCTTATAGTTCTTGGGATGGCTTACAAAATTTTTTGCAAGATACTAACACAAAAAAGTGGTATGATCTAAACACAATAAGAAATTTCAGAGAAGCTAAAATGTGTTAGTGATAAAAAACAATAAATGCACTAAGAAAAGCCCCCCCCCTTTTGGAATACAACTCCCAACATTCCTGACAATTTGTCGTGCTGGCTCAGGCTGCTAGGTATTGAAGTCCAGAATCATATGGAGGACAGCAGATTGGGGAAGACTGTGCTAAAACACCTGGACAAATAGAAAGATACTCACCTAGCATAGGGGTGTTGCTCAGGCTAGACCAGTAGATCCCCAGCTTTGAATCTGTTTGACAGGACAGAACCCCATATCTATTCCTCAGAGCTTTGAATGATCATTTATTATCATTATCATCTACATTATATCACATTAGTAGTCTCATTCTTCCTCTTGCAAGAAACCACAGCAGAAGGTTCTCTTTCTCTTTATTTTATCCTCACAACAACTACCCTATGAGGTGGATTAGGCTGAGCATACATGACCAGCCCAGACTTATTCAGTGAGCTTCATGGTTGAGTGGGGACTAGAACCTGGATCCCTCAGCCCCAGTGCAACACTCAAACCACTCCACACTGACTCTAGTGGATGCGAATGAAAGATTTCTTTCTTAGCTTAATTGCCAAGTTGGGGGCAATTTTATGGGGGACTGTAGCTGCTGTGAGAAGGGTAACCCTGCCCTCTCCACAAACTGGAGCACCCTCAAAAAATCCCCCCCCCCCAGCAATTCAGCTTTGGGACAAGGGAAAATCCATTGGTATTAATAGAAGTGTATCTTTTAAGCTTAATTCCATGAGGTAGGGGCAATTTTCTTCCAAGAGGGAGAAAGAAATGGGCACAGGGGATATGGATGTTTGCAAATTGATGTTAAGTGTGGAGGAATTGCCAATTTGGAGTGATCTGGGGTGAAGTGCAAATTAATGTATTTATTTGAGATGGCTTGAATGAGAAATTGACTGGCTTTGCCTTCCATGAAATTTAAATGAATCCTAGTAATTATTCTATATTTGCATATATAGTTTTGTGCATATTTGTGTCATATGGATCTTTTAAGTGTGCAGCAATGCTCCTTCCTGCAACTAAGAAGGCATCAAGCTCAGAATCCCATGAGCTTCCCAAGGCAAAGCATTCCCAAGTCAGAATTCCCTCTTTTTGGATTATATCGTTCTTTGCTTCCAAAGGTGGTGTGTTTTCCATCATGCCTGAAAAAGAACCAACATTCAGTGTACTCATTCTGAAACTGACTGGAAATTTCCATCTGCCCAGGCCTAGTTATTAGCTGAGTCCTCGTATTTTGAAGTAACAGAATTCTAAGTAGTTTTCAGCTCAAGAGGGCAAATGCCACTTGGATACATAACCAGAAGTGTGGCTTCTAGATTGAGAGAAGTATTACTGCCACACTATACGACTCTGGTGTGCCCACAACTGGACTACCGTGTTCAGGTCTGGGCTCCACATTACAGGAAGGTATCGGTACGGTGTAGGGCCACAAGGATAGTGGCTGGATTGTAAGGGATGCCATATGAGGAGAGACTGAGGGAACTGGGTCTCTTCAGCCTGGAGCAGAGGAGACTCCGAGAGGATCTGTTGATGACATATAGGTATGTGAGGGGGTGTCACACAGAGGTGGGTTGAGACCTGTTTTCCCCTGTGGGGGAGGGCAGGGCATGTTCCAGCGGAGCAAAGCTCAGAGAACCAAGGTTCAATTTGGATACCAGAAAGTACTTCCTGACAGTAAGGCAGGGTAGAAAACCTTTTGGGACTGTGGGCACATTTGACAGTTTAAGAAATAGTCCTGGCCACCACCTCAAAATGGCTGTCATGGCACAATAGCCTGTCCAAAACACAGTAATGTATTTGATTTTACTGATTGTGAGCCGTCCCGAGATGCCATGCATAAGGGACGGCATATAAAAGTTTTAAATAAATAAACCTTTTTGGCACAAGGAACTGGTTTTATGGAAGACAATTTTTCCATGGACCAGGGGTGGGGTGCGGGATGGTTTTGGGATGATTCAAATACATTACATTTATTGTGCATTTTATTTCTATTATTATTACGTTGTAATATATAATAAAATAATTATACAACTCACCATAATGCAGAATCAGTGGGAGCTTCCCCGCCCCAAACTGCCACTCACACACACCCTCCCCAGCAGCTCTACACCCTCCTCCTTTCAAGGCCCAAGACCCAAAAGGGCCCTAATGATAATCTGTATTTACAGCTGCTCCCCAGCAGTGATGCTAGCGCTGGGGAGCAGCTGCAAATACAGATGAAGCTTTGCTCGCCTGTCTGGCCACTGGCTGCTCACTTCCTGCTGTGCGGCCTGGTTCCTAACAGACCATGGACTGGTACAGTGGTTGGGGACCCCTGGTGTACAAGACTGAGGTGGTATGTGAACTCAGATGCATTAACCAGCTCCTTTATAGCTGTCAGTACTTAAAACTTATTTTACAGCAATCCGAGCAGCTGGTAAAAAAGTCAATTTAAAAAATAGAATGGGAGGAGTAGGGCACCTGGGCAGGTGCCAGGAAGGTGCCTAGACAGCATATTGCCTACACTTGTTTTAAGGGATGTGTAACCCCCATCCAGAACACATGAAATACTACCTCCTAGGTCAAGTGAACATGGTCATTCTCTCTACTGCATATGTTTTAGCATAGATTTTTGAAGTCCTAAACAGACCCTAAGGTATCAAGTTCTCTTTACCTGCTACTTTAGTCCTTTGGGAATTCAAATCAAAAAGAAAAAAAAAATCAGAACCTCCATTTTGTGGGTGTGATTCCTAAAAGCAGAACAAGTAAACGTTTTGTTGGAAGTTAGAGTGCATTAAACAGAATTAGTAGTTGGCAGCTCCTGGTAACTGAATTGCCAAGCTTCTGTGGTCTGCAAGAAGAGCAGGCATTAAATATTGAATAAAGATTTGGTGTTCAGACAGATTCTACTATGTAGATTTGGTAGCTGACATTATCCTTGGATTATTAAAGAACAAAAAAGGCAGCATTGGAACTGCTGCAGTTATCTTAAATGGTATCATGTTAGTTCTGTTGGAGGTTACATTTTCTTTCATTGGTATTAGAATCCTTCAGTGTTCTGCCTTTCTGTTGAGTTGTGCTCCTTCGTCTGAGTTGGCTAAGAAAGCAGACTTGAGGAGACTTTCAACAAGTTGCATGGAACCGGTCAAAATAGGAGCAAATGCATTAAAAAACAGTTGTGTCTATTTAATTCTCACAGCCTGAGCCTACTGCTGTGCTTTTCAGTCAGCTGTGAAGACTTGCAGTGTCATTAGCCTTTGACCAGGTCACACAGCCCACACTGACAGGGTGCTGTTTGCTTATCTAGGCTGAGTTCAGTGAATGTTGATAGCATATAATGCAGCTGGAAGTTGGCATGGACTAACAGAAAGCAAGAGCTGCAGCAACCGGAGAAGGTTGTATGAATAGGCACTCAGAGCTTAACATGATGCTTCTTTTGCTGCTAACAGTTTTGTCCAGTCTTGTAGTGTTTGCTCTGAAAATAGAACTAAATACACATGTAGCCACACCAAAGGCAAACATTGGAAAGACGTTCAGTATCTCCATGGATAAAGCATAAATTTTGACGTTTGAAATTGTTCAGTTTCAAGCGTTTCTCAAGCACAATTTGATTTGAAGCAGGTCTTGCCATATTGCCGAGCAGTTTGTATTGAGAGCTCTGCTTGAAGGCAGTTTAGAGTTCTTCATGAAGGGTGTGCAAATGCAGCAGTATTCAACAAGTGAAACTAATTGTGCGCTCTGCCTCCCTTGCGGGCTGTGCCTGTGCAGTGGTGCCTCCAGGGATTGGCTGAGTACTTCTAGCATAATCTTCAGCCTAGTTTTATGATGTTTCTGCACAGTCCATCGCATATCTAGAATTAGTCTGTGACTTTACCTTGCGGATGCCTTTCATTCTGCACATTCATTTATCTCTTTGCTTCCCCAGATTCATCAGGATTTATTTTTGATGTTCAGTCCAATACCGTGATGGCTCAAGGTGGTATATTTGAAAATATGAAAGAGAAGGTAAGTAATTCCTTATTTGCTTATAGGACACCTTGAGTTCCTTGCATGAAGAAGAAAGGCAGGATAATAATTCTTGAACAGTTATTTAGCAAAGGGTTTGAGATGGCTTATTGCAACTTGCAAATTAAAAGTCACCTGTGAATCCCCACACACAGAGATTTTAGGTCTGTGGAGGCTCTATGCTTGCTGTAGGTGTACTGCCGTGCTCTTTTGCTTGATTTCTGTGTCCCTGTCTCTGTGGGTGGAGGACTGGAACTTAGCAACACTTTGCTTTTCTTCCACACACACTCCTTTTTTCCTGGCAAGTGGTAACACAAGCTGTTTGTTAAAAGTATCATTGATTCAGGAGCAGGGTTTAATGATCAAAATCTATCCACTTGGTAGCATATTGGTTCATAAAACAGACTTTACAGTGCCAACTTAGAGAAGCTCAGGTGGCTCTACCACCCCTGTGAGTTCATATTGCTTCTAGCTATAGCATCAGTAACAGACTTGCTGCCTTGGGATGGGCTTCAAAAACATTGCCAGAGAAAACAACATTAATGGGCCGTTCCCAGAGCAAAAATGAAACTTGCCCATCAGCAAGGAGAACAGAAACTTACTTTGTTTCATATGTTAGCAATCAGGGAAAATATTTGACTTGGAAGCAAGTGGTTAATGTGTGACCTATATGTCTCCTTTTTCTAGATCAGTGCTGTAAGGGCAATAGTCCCTAACCGGAGCAACAATGAAATTATCCTAGTGCTGCAGCACTTTGATAACTGTGTAGACCGAACAGTGCAGGCTTTCATGGAAGGTGAGTTATTCAGTAGCAAAGTTTTGCCTAAGATGCTGGCTGACAAGCTTAGAAACTGTGATAGGAATAAGTAGTGTGGAGAAGACAGAATTTCTGGAACTTCCTGAATTTGTAATCTCAGCCTAATACATGCTGTAGATATAAGTTTTATATCTTGCTCATTTGGAGGGGGAATCTACTTGCAGGATTTGGTCTTTGCCAGGGACTGAGAAATAGTGGTGTGAGAAGCATAGCATGCAGCAAAGCCTGGAAAGGAAAGGGTGGAAGAGCAGCTGTGATGAGTAAGGGGTTCCACCCAGTGACCAATTTGATTTCTTTCTAAGGGATTCCACCCTGTGACCATTTGATTTCCTCCTCAGAGTGACTTAATATGTGACTTTCATATACGTAGAGATAATCTGCATGCAGAAAGCTAAATATGTGCACAACTGTGTAAGCTATTGTTTGAAAATGTCACAGCTGTTTACCATGGTTATATCAGGAACCACCTTTCAGGAAAGCATTTCATGACATCAAAATATGCATAACTGTGGCAGTTTACATTACATTTTCACACACAATAAGTGGATTAGCTGTGTTCATTTTCTGGAGCAAAATTACATTCATGTATGACATTTCTGTGAAATGATTCTGAAGTGCTTTTTTACTATTTTTAATGCAGAAATAGCTAATTCTAGGTTTACTTCCAGTGATAAGGACTAACAATTTGTTTTGTTTCAGTGAGAAAGATTGCACTCAGTTAAAATTCTGTTAGCTATTGAATTCTGTATGTAGTGTGATAATGGTATTGCCAGTTTCCATGCTTCTGCTTGATTTGTACATGTGTTAGATTTATACAAAAATAATTTTTCTTGTCTAAGTGAAAGTTTGGACCTGAGCAGGTTTGAGGGGCCCACTACAGGTACATACCTGGTATTAAATCATACTGTGTTTAGACTGTATAGGGAGTCCTTTTTTCTCTAGTACACTAGAGAAACTAGTACACTAGTTTCATTCCTTTACCTAAATATAGTTTTCTTCACACCTTCTGTTTCAGAATCTATTTAAGACATGAAAATGTCAATATCTCTTTATATGATTGAAACTAGAACGGTAGGCACAGAGATCCTAAAATCTTGTCACTGCACTACCATTAATTCAAATCAGGTTGTTTAAACTAGCTGTGCAACAGGGTGGGTTGATTTAAGAAGATTTAAATTAAAAAAGGTTGATTTTAATCAAGTTTCCCATTGAATTTTTTCTTATTTCCTAAATTCTCATGCAAATCTGACCACTGAGCCATGGTCAGAGAGAATGTATTTAAAATGTCCCCACATAGCAAGGGTATTGAACCTTATTGAGTCAGAGGGCCAAACATTCAAGCATGCATTCCAGTGGTGGGTGGGGCTGAAATCAAGTGTGGAACCAAAAAATACCACAAATTTCAGCATAAAACTGCTCAGTGTTCTTAGTACTGGTAACTAAGCCTTAGGTGAGGCATATCAACACTTCAGAATGGGGTGAAATCTGCACAAAAGCCAGGAAAGAACCAAGTGATTGGTGACTGGGGTGGGTCCTCCAAAGGGGGCGTAACCATTTGCAGAACCCCAGAGAGCTGGATTTGGGCCACAGGCCAGCAGTCTGTGATATGGAGACTCCCTTTTGACCAGCATCCATGACAGTTTTGTTTTGATGGTGCAATCCTATGACTCCTCAGAGTTTAGTTTCATTGAATTTCATGGTGCTTATTCCTAGGCAAGGAGTTATAGGCTGGAGTCCTAGATAGTAATATAGACAGGTGAACACAAGACAACTTACTTTTTTTCTTTCCCTCATTGCTGCTTTCTGCTTTTCTTTCATTCTTTACAAAAATGAAACAATCCTGACTGATATGCTGAAGCATAGTTCATAGACTAGAACAATTAATTTTTATCAAGTGTTGAGTAGAACATAAATACTCATATAAGAGAACTGATGCTTGTTTCTGTGGATAGAAAGGCCTCTAACTGTAGCAGTATCTAGTAGAGGTATTGATTAAGATGAACTGTGTAGTCAACAGGCTAACCAGATTATTTAATGTTAAGCTAGTTCCTATATCACATGCACTTAATATTTACAGTTTAAAATTTGATTCAAGATTTTTAAGTTAATTTATATATCCACTGTACTGTATTTTCTTTCAATCTAAACAAACTCCTCTGCCTTATTTGACTAAATCCTGCCACCACATAAGCATAGAACAGACCAATGCATTTTGTGCCTTTGTACATTTGACTTCAGAAAACAAAAAAACTCAAACCAGGAGTAAGCAACATGGTGCCCACAAGGACCTGCCAGTGCCCCAGCTAGGATCTAGCTGTCTTGCCCTGCTAGATCCCTCCCACACTGCACAGCTTGCTACTGCTTTTACTTCTGCAGCCAGGAAGCTGCAAGGCAGCAGACTTCTCTCCCAGTCTGCCAAATCCCTGCTTTCTTGTGCTGCAGTGAACAGAGTAGCCACACGTATGCTACCACATGTATGTAGAAGTGATGTCAGTAGTCAGTGGGTGGGTATATGAGTGGGCAGGAGAAGTGGGATATGACAGAAGGCAGGTGAGAGAAGCAGTGCGTGGTGGTAGGAGGTGGAAGCAGCAAGACCAAGCAAGCAGTGGCAGAAGAAATGTATGGTGGCTGGAGAATTTGCAGGAGAAAGGCAAGGAATTTATGGACAGGGGAGAAACAAGAGGAAATCCAGGAAAGATGGTGCAGGAAACCAAACTTACAGGTGTGCCTAGAAATGGGCAAATTCACCTGTGAATCCAAAAAGGTTGCTACCTGGCCCTGAATTTTCAGGAAACACATGCTAGTAATTAAACTGACCAGAAACACTTGCATGAAATTAAGGTCTAAAATTAATGCCCATGTCTGAATAATTTTCCTACCAGTGTTTGTGAGTGTTACGAAACTATTAGTTCATTTTGACAAGACTTAATTGTACCTGTTTTAATGAAAAGAAAGTATTTTATTTGGGATTTAAAAACAATTTAAAGTGTAATTTAAACTTAAATCTGTTTTTTTAATCCACAATCCTATGTAAGGACCTAAAGTACTCATATAACTGCTTAAAATCTAAGAGACCACATTTCTGATATCATGAAATTACCTTGTAAATCCCAGTCCTTATGCTGATCTTATTCTTTTACCTAGAGGAATGCTCTGGGTACAGCTCCTGAACAGAAAAAAAATCTGTACCCCTCCTAGTTATTCATGGAATTCTAGTTCTCTAGGTTCTGTTCTTCTGTCTACTGTCACTCATTTGCTGCTTCAGGTGCATGAGGAGCACATGAAATGTAATTTATTCTGCTTATGATTTCTTCGTCTTGCAGGCAGTGCAAGTGCAGTATTAAAAGAATGGACCGTGACAGGCAAGAAAAGGGTAAGCCTTGGTTTGATCTTGAACTTATTTTGAGAGGTATATATTGCCTTAGTCTAGAATTATCACAACTTGCTAAGCCCAGCTTCTTGCATCACTCCTACTAAATTAGAACAATACAGTGAACGAGCCTGTGAGAGGTTCTGTGATACGGTAAAACTGTATACTTATTACCAAGAAGACTTGCGTAGATCTGGAGTGTTGCTTATTGATCTCACATACCTGGCAGCTTTTGAAATAAAGCTTAAAACCAAATTCATGTTTACTGAGGTGATAGTTTCATCTGGAAACCTTTCCAGCCGGTATATGCATCAGTATAATAGGTTTGCCCCTCTTTCTCCCTGCACTACATGTCGTCTTCTCACTCTGACCCCTTTGTGTGGTTCTGCAAAACTGTCTCTTGGCAATTGCATTGCTTTAAGTTGGTCTCTTCTGGCTTCAAAAATAGTCTTCTGGTTTCTGAAACCTTTTCTCTTGAGAGATGCCTGGCCCGTACACAACTCCATCTGCTTACTGGTTTGGTGTCTTAGTATCCCCTGACACGACATTCCTCATTTTCTTCCCCTGTGCTCCTTCCCTTGTCTTTTGGTAGCCACTCTTCCTGTCCATGGCCTTGTTTCTGGAGTGCCCAGTTTCCTTCTGCTATTATAGGCCTTTGTCCCTAATTATTCCCGAGCGGAGCAGAGCCCTTGAGCCTGGGTGTAGGGAAGGTGCACTGCCTCCCTTGGTTGCAGATAAAGCAACTTCAGTGACATCTGTGGGAGTCCCTGCTGGAAAATGAACCAGAGACCTGTGCCCAAAAGACCAGCTGCTGCTTCCATGTCAGACGGTGAACTTGAGCATTCCTCACTTCTGCAGCTTCTGGCCACAAGCACCTGTCCTCTCTGCCGCCTCTGCCTTTTCACAAGCCCAGTTTTCCTTCTTTTTTTCTTATCCCTGTGGATAAGAATTGTTTCCTCATCGTTCTTTCCCTATCTATCTATCTATCTATCTATCTATCTATCTATAGCTTTTCTATCTTGATTTATTAGTCTCAGTCTATTCCCTTTAGCATTCTTCCTTCTCATATCTAAGTCATCTTTTTACCCCTCCCTAAGTATTCTGCAGTCTGAGCAATCTGCTAATGGTAGTCAGAAACCCTACATTTAGCCCACCTGTGACATGCAGCAACTTAGCCAGTTACTGCTGGAGATTGCATCACCACTGCTGCAAAAAAATTAAAAAAAAAAAAACACTTATGCCCAGTCACCAATCCTATGCCCATTTTAGTAAGTCCTATTGAGCTCAGTCTTGCTTAATTCTGAATACACATGAGCATGCCTGTGCTGTTAGTATGTGCACAATCTTACCTCTAGAATAGGTTCTGATGGGGATACTTTTTTCTCATCAAACAGTTAGAAGCTATTGCTCTAGCCTAATAAATTTCTGAGCATTAGTAGGAAGAAAGGTAACTATCCCAAATAGACTGCACTTGGAAAAGGCAGAAACCCTGTGATATCTTTCAGGTCATCTATAAATGTATAAGAGACTCATATGTCTCTTGAATCAATGCTATGAGCACTCTAGACTTTAAAAACAAAATCTTAAGACCTAATATAACTCCTTTTTCTGCACAAAGAAAGGGTGCCATTTGTGGCTTGCATAAATGATAAAAATAAGGTGTAATTTATTCTGCTTTGCCTAGTCACATGAAAGCATTTAGAAAAGAGGTGGTAATAAAACCTTTACCTATTGGCCACTGGAAATTTCATCAGCCTTGTCTTTGGCTTTTAAGAGTTTACAAGGCATTTCTTACACAGTCAAGCATATCTTCATAGCCGTACAGTCTAGAAATGGAAAACGCTGCTTCTCTGAGAACTTCATTGTACAATCTATTATGCATTCTGTGTTTTTTCCTGTATTTCTATAGAATCGTAGAATATACACACATGAGCATAGCCAATTCTTCAGACTAATTGATGGCTGAGAGCAGTATTTTTGATGCTTCCATGCATCCTAGCCTTTCTCAATGCACAGTTGCCATGCATAGCACACTTGGGTCTCATTAGTCTCAGTCTGTCAGTTCTAATTGTTAAATAAATCCATCCCACTTCTAAGCATTCATTGTTGTGGACTTGATGATTGAAGTATTTAATTTGCTGCTCAAGTAGTAAGAATGATCTGAGGTTTCATTTCAGGAATGAAGTTTAGGATTTCTCCCTCTGATTTTCTTTTTCTTTGACGGGGTGGATATATTAATCCGTAGAACAAAAAGAAGAAAACCAAACCAAAGCCCCCTGCAGAGCTGAGTGGCAGCCTTCCTGATCCCAGCAAGCTAGCATCCACTGAAGAGGAACAGTCTGCAGCTTCATCAGAGAAGGGTGGGATCAATGGTTACCATGTCAATGGCTTGGCCAATGACACTGAATCTGTAGACTCACTCAGTGAAGGCTTGGATACACTTTCAATAGATGCCAGAGAGTTGGAGGAGAGTGAACCTGCAATGCCTGAGGTGCTTGATGGAGCAGGTTAGTTCTCTCTCTGATTCTTTCCAAAAAGCAGAACTGTTGTGTCTGTTAAAGCAGAAGACTCGTGTTCTCTCCTTACTATTGCCATTGTGTCTCCCGCTACAGAAAAATAGTAGCAAAAGAGTTAATTTTTCATGTCTGTTTTTTCTTGTTTTTGTAGAAAGGAGGTCAAGTTGCCTTTTTAATTAGCTTCTAAAGTATTCCAGGCTTCCAGAGGGGATGGAGACAGGAATGAGAACAAGCTAAAAGATATTATAGATGTCTAGCCATTGTTCTACATTCCTAAACCTCACTTGAAAATACAAGATGTTGATGGGCTGTGATGATATGGTGATGGATATTAGGGCACTAAGTAGGTTCTGGCTAGGTGCATATCACAAGGTGCAGTACCATTAGTTTCTCTGCTGTAGGTGGAGAGCTGTACCCAAATTCTAAGGATAAGCCTAAGAAAAATAACTTGGAAACCCTGCATAGATGATTTCCCTTACTTCGTTGCGCTTTGTTAGGTTGTCTTGTGTTTGTAGTGGGAACTTTTTTTTTCCCTCTCAGCAGCATTTGAGTTAGAAAATGGAATAACAGACTTCAGTTCAAAGTCTACCACCATGCGGTCTTCCCAGAATACTCAGTCTTTAAGAGCACAGCCTGAACTGAGGAACCCTGGCAAGCCACTCTCCAGATCTGTCTCAACCACCCTGGCATCTCCTCCTCCATCTCTGGCAATGCTGGATGAGGTCCCTGTGACCTCTGGAAACAAAAAGCTAGGTAGGTGTGATGGCCTCTATGACTGTTTTGTGATACTTCTGTTCATTCTCTAGGTCTTGAATGTCTGCAAACTGACTGTGACACCAGATGTCACTCGTTCTAATTATCAAGCTGTTAATTTTAGTGTGCATCTCTGTTTGAGTAACTGTAGTATATTGGGCAGTATTGGACTTAGATCCTACTCAGTCATCAGCTTTGCCGGATAATCTTGTTCCCATTCACTGTTACCTGGCTAGCCTTCTTTGCAGGTTTGTGGAAGACAGAACATGAAGGCCCCAATTTCTCATGTACCTTGTTCTGTACTCCTTGAAGAGTACAGAAAAAAATGTAATCAGTAAAGCAAGATATAAATCCTAACCTTGTTGCCATCTGATTCCAGATGCTTAGAGCAAGGGCTTGTTTGGACATCACAATAAGACAGAGTTCCAGAGAACCTGGCTTCCTAGGATTGATCAGTGATAATTTCTGCTTGGCTCATCTTGCTGGCAGGAGTGGCTAAAAGAAACCATGCACCCTCTGAATGAGTTTTATTACTGTGACTTAAGAATACATCTGAGGATTCTGGCTTGTCTCTCCCAAAACAAACAAGAGTCATAAGTCAACAACAAACTCGAGTTTGATTTCCCCTTTTTTGTGGGGGAGACAAGCCGGAATCCCTGGGCTGAATGTTAAGAAACTACAATTGAAGACCTCATGGTTTGTTAACCACTCCCACTGACAGAAAGACCTTTGCCAGAACAGTTGGGGAACATGTACTAGCATACTTGCTCCAATACTAATCAGCCAGGCTTCTTCAGAACTCTGTCTTATTGTGATGTTGTACCAGGTGTACAGAGGCATTAGAGATACATTTTATTTTTCTTCCTAGCCAGCAACTGAATATTCAGGGACAGCTCCACATTATGAGTCTTAGTCCTTCATGACTAATAGTCATTAATAACTCTATCCCCTGTTTTTGTTAACTATTTCTTCATTGAAGAAAACACATAAAGAATATTCTCAAACACTAAATTATTTTGTTATCATTGCCTTTTACTGCACATTAACATGGATGCTATGCTAGCTTCTCTGCTAGGGCCTGGGACCTGGCAGGTCCTCTGTTGTAATCTTCCCTGGAAAGATTGAGGGTGACCGCTTCTTTCTTCTCTCCTCAATTGGGTAAACTTCCCACACCTACTTTAAGGTCAGGGTGCTGCTGCAGCCACTATGGATTTTTGCTCGCCCAGTAAAGAGTTGAAACTGTGGGATAAGTTGCAGGCAAAACAGCTTGGCAGCCGTTGAAGCTTGACTGTTCTGAGACCAAATCAAATTGCTGGGCAACATGTCTTTTTCCAGATCTAATTCTGATTTCCAGTTCTGTTTCCTTTTGGGGTACAGAGAATTCTTGTGAAAAACAGTGTATTGGGTAAAAGCATATTAGGCAGAGTCAGCTGAAATTGTAATTAAATTGCCTAGTGGTGGGAAGATTATGAGTACTTTAATAGGAATGTTGCATCTGTGTTGGGCAGCAAGTAGTTGACTTGTAACTGTCTTTCTGCCTGCTGATAAAAAATAAAACATAAATTGGTTCATTGACTGAAATCTTTGAGCTGTCATGCCTACTCAATAGTTGTTCACTGTTCATATCTTTCTTACTAGATGGACTTAGAATATGTATCACCCCTAAAAATATATTTCTTATCACAAAGTTCTCCTTGAGGTACATTTGTTCCTGAGCCAGAATTTTGAAAAGACCCAGCAGCTAATAGGAAACGACATCCCCTTGCAGATTCTTCCTTTAGTCCTCTCTATATCCATCTCTACTAGTCAGCATGAAAGACCTCCAAGACCTTGTTTCAAAACATGGTCATTATCCACAGTTTCAAGGAGATGTGAACATCAGGCTCCTGGCATCACTGGTTCACCTTCATGCTGTAACAAGGGCTGTAACAAGTGGCTGGCAGTTCAGCTTAGCAGGGGGTGGGCACTTCAGCAGGCCTTGGACACAGAAATAAGCATGGAGACATGCTCAGTGGGAGATACAAGGCAGTCAGGCTAACCTATATAACTAGCAGCTAAGCTTTACATCATCTAGAGATTCTTGTGCAGATACTGGAAAGAGACCTTCTCAAAGTTAACTGTGCCCAGTTGGACACTTCCTCTCTATGTAATCCATTGTTTCTCCCTTATATCATGAAGAGGGCATTTTCTTCTAGTAAATATTTAGTCTTCCTCTGGAAAGAAATGGTATTAGAAATAGCCAAACTTTCAGAGTCCATTTTTTGTAACCAACAGATAAATTCATGACAGTCAGTTTTGAAGATTTATTAGAAAGTTGCATAAATTAATACTGTTTTGGTTTTGTGCATGTTTCTCTTTGAATAGGTTCCAATATTGAAAAATCTGTGAAAGATCTCCAACGATGCACTGTTTCACTGGCTCGGTATCGTGTTGTAGTTAAAGAAGAAATGGATGCTTCCATTAAGAAAATGAAGCAGGCATTTGCAGAGCTCCAGAGTTGGTATGCTAACACCTGAAGAGGCTGAAGTGTTCCAATATGAATCAGTTTAAGGCATTTGGGCTTACTAGCCCCTTTTATTTATTTTTTAATGCAACTCCAGTAATTACCTCAGATCATTATATCATTAGTACCACCTCAGGACATTAAAAGATGGGTGTTTGGAAATACTGGAAAGGGTGTAGCAGCTATGACTAAAACAATGGAAGCTTCAGATGACCAGCCTATCGCATAGTAACATTGATCTTTATGCTTTCTCTGCGGTGGCACCCCAGCTCTGGAATGAGCTCCCTAGAGAGGTCCGCCTGGTGCTATCATTATATGCTTTTTGGCACCAGGTCAAGACCTTTTTATTCACCCAATATTTTAATGTTTAATAGTTTTTAATCATCTTTTATTACATTCATGGGTTATTTTAGTTTTATTGTTTGGGGTATTTAGGATATTTATATTGCTGTATTTATTTGTAAGCTGTCCAGAGACCCAGAGTGATGAACTGGTTAAAAATATCCCAAATAATAAATAAATAAATACATGGAAAACATGATGCAAGACTCTGAATTCTGATCCTGCAATGTTTATATGAATAGCTCTGCTGTAAAGTAGTCACAGCATTCTCTAGATTTCCCAATGAGCCACTGAACTATAGCTGTGCGTGCAGAAGGTCTGGTATCTGGTTCCTGCTGGAGGAGTCCCTAATCTGGAACCCTGACGAAGCGGTGAAGCCAGTCAGTATAGACAAACAATACTGAGTTAGATGGACCAATAATCTGGATCAGTATAAAGCAATCTCCTACATAAAGTGCTGTCTCTGGTATGTTTGTTTTTTGGCACTTGATAGCTGGATTGCCATAACTCAACAGTGCATGACTGTCCCTCTTGAAAAGTGGTGAGAGAATTTCCTGACAAAGATTCTAAGTATGGGGATCCAGTGCATCACACAAGTAAAGCTTGAACTGTTTCAGACAGCTTGATCTTAACTCCAAGTAGCTGCATAGTATTGTAGCAATAGCATATATGAACAACACTGTGTTGGAAAGTTAGGGAACCTCCAAGACTCTGGAATAGTGAGTTATGCGGGGTGGCTAATTGAGGGGAAATCAGTATTTCTCTTGAACAGCATTTCCATATTTGAGAGTAATGTTTTCAGATCTTTTTAGATTAACAACCTGTTTGTGATATAAAGACAGTATAGGAGGGTGAGAGGCAGGCAGGGTCTTTGTGTATGTAAAAGGGGCTCACTGAACTCTGCCCTCTGAAAGCACAATCCTCCAGTTGATAGTAATAATCTTCTGATGACTTAGTATCTAAAGCTAATTTTTAGCTGTTGTATTTGCCCATAGTATAGTTGTTCGGTATTATTCATACAACATCCGTCTTTGCAAAATGAAAATACTAGATTTAGTAGCTTAAAAACTTTTCTTCCTGCATCAGTTATTTGATCTTTGACACACACTTGCGTCACATTGGAGAAGGTTAAAGACCTGAGCATGGTTCAGCAGTTTTGCTGAGATAAGTCTACATGTGTACCGGTTACTATGAGAATGGGTGAAGGCCGAATCAGCAGAAACCAGGAAGTACAGTTCCGTGACACAGGGATCTGCAGTGCCTGTTTGGAACAAAGCCAGTGGAACCTCCTTCAATAAATGCCAGATGAAGAAGGTTCCTGTAGTGAGGCTTTGTACACAGGAGTGATAAACCTCTGGTTCTGGCACAAAGTTATAGCCAAGATTAAATTCTGTCCTGTAGAAGTGGGCTAGCTGCCAGCCTGCTGGTTACGTTTAAGTTGGTATATGCAATCAAATCCTTTTCTGCTTGCTTGTGGGCAAACCAGCTCATATCAGTTTGAGTATACAAAATTATCTTGTCACCTCAGTCAACTGTTAAAGCAGATGTAGAAATCTGACCTTTCTTACCCCTTAAGAAGTTGCTTTATCTTCACAGTTTTAGAAACTGTATTAGACATAATAAAATACATGTTGGTGAGGTTGTATTATTCTTATGACTTAATTACCAGTTATAAAATATTTGAAATGCTTCATAGCAGAAAGCAGGATGTGCTGCTTATGCAGGTTATGTTCATATGTAAATATATTTATAGATAAATATTGCACATAAAACAAAAATTGTGTATCTCCCCCATCAAAATATGCATCATAAGGCAGATTTCATGAGGTTCTAGATATACTTTGCTGTGTAATCGTTGAAACATTTACAGTTTTTCTGAAGATTAATACCTCCCAACATTGAGTACTTCCTGTCCAAAGTGTTTCAAATTAGATTGTTTACCTGACTTTGAACAACACCATACAGTCAAGAGTACTGATTTTAAATTATGGGAAAACCAGTATACACACCAGTATTCATGTGTGTGGAAGATTAGGGTACAGAAGATTATTGTCCCATTAATACTTGTAATGACATTCTGAGGTATTTTGGGGCTTCCAGTAAGTATCAGGTTGGCTATAATGGGAAACAGGATGCCGGACTAGATAGGCCTTGGCTCTGATCCAGCAGGGTTCCATTAGGAGGTGTATGGAATGGCAAAGAACAGTGTTGCTGAAGCAGTTTTCCTATGCCATTTCTTGGACTTCTTCCTAAATTTTAAAGTTGTAAACTTTAGCTGAGTTCGTTGAATGATTTGTTCTAAGTGGGCAGCTACTTATTATGGGGCTGTGGGGGTACTCTAGTATCTATAAATACCATGGAGACTCGGTTTAAGCATTTTCTTTTGTGTTTTAAGGTAGGTTAAAGTACCTGGCAGGATGTTGCTCATATTTCCTTAATACTATGGACATTACGTGTTGTTCTAGAGATGCTGTCTTGTACTGTTTATTCAGTAAAGCATCGCAGGCAGTGCAGGGAGAAAACAATATTCAGGAGAATATTCAAATATTCTTCAGTGGTCTTCCATAAGGAGAAATGGATATCTCAGTCAGTTGTCTTAGAAAATAGGTGTCTGGATGCATGTGGTTTCTTTGAGGTGCCACCTTCAATTATTTTGGCAACAGTGTTTGCTGCATAGGAACTAAAGAAACTTTCAGATAATTTTGAAGCTTCAGAACTTAAAGCCCAAGTGTCAGGGTACTTGTGGTAACTTGAAATGAAATAGGCAGTGAACTTAAGGCTTATTTTGTGGTTCTGTTAACTCAAAAATGATGCTGTACCAGAATTTGTGGAAAGGTCTGAAGCTTTCTGCTGCCACCTGTTGGCTCCTTCTCTGTACTGGTAGGTTTCTGTTCAAAGTCTAAACGTTCATTGAACAGAACAGAACTATTCCCAGTTGTTCATTTTCCATTGATTAGCTACCTTATAGTTTGTACACTGTCTTGACAAAACTTGACTATAAAGGGTTTAATCTCACTTCTTTATTTTTCTCTTCTTCTTAGCCTCATGGACCGAGAAGTTGCTCTTCTAGGTGAAATGGACAAAGTAAAAGCAGAAGCAAGTAAGATTTTTTTAAAGCTAAATGCACTGTATTGAAACTGCAGAAAATAATCAAGTTTCTAAAATGATCAGTGCCTTCCCCTGTTCTACTTGTCTTACTTCTAAATGTATCAGCTACTCACTGCTTATGCTTGCCTTGTGACCACTTTAGTTTAAAAAAAAAGCCACATTCTCTTTCATTTATATGATGCTATTTTAGCTTACAGTTATAAATCATGGGTGCAAAAGACAGAAAATCTTGCAACAAAATATAGGTAGACGAAATGCAATTTTGCGCCTTCACTCCAGTTTCCAAGTATATGACTGTAACTAATCGGAGCCCCCATTTCAGCAGCACAATATGCTTTTGTATGTGAGAATGAAGAATGAGCAGCTCCAAAGACATGCATACCTGTGTGCGCATGCGTGTAGGCACACATGTATGCATGCATTCTGAGTATCTTGTCTTCTTATTGCCTATTGTGGCCAATAGGGCAACAGGATTCCAACCAGGTATGAATGTGGAGTGAATGTAGGTATGAATCCTTCCCCTTGAGAGTTAAAATTTGTCTAAAACAGAAGTAACTGTTTATTAAGGTAGATTGGCTCTTGTGTGCCTAATCCTGCTGCCTGGATTCAAGTACTCAAGCAATTGTTAGAAACTTGCATCTCTGCAAGCCTCTTTCTCTGAAATGTGGCAACTGCCTAGAGCAGGGAGAGCATAGGTGTAGGGTAAAGACAACAGGTATTCATGTATCGGAGCCTTATTTTTGGTATGAGACTTTTTAATAGAACTTAATATCTATGACCTCTATAACAGCCCAAGAATCCATAAACAGGTCTCACCCATTCTGTCAGGAAAGAAATATGTTACTCTTTATACTGGTTGCAGAGTTTTGTACCTTGACCCTTCAGGCAATGTTAGTATAAAATGCTTTCTTTGAAGTTGGTCTGACTGACTGTACAAAATCTTTAGCTACTATAAAGGAAAGGGGAAGCTTGCCTTCTGACAAGCGGGTTGGTCTTATCCCTCAGATCCTGATTAATTAGCAATATGGTGGTGGCACTGGCTTCTTGTCTTCTGGTCATAATTAACTGGTGCTAATCTTGATTTTAAGACATTCTCTGGTCTACTTTCATCAGGAAGATAGTACAAGCAAACTCATACTTATCCATCCCTCCCTAACATGACAGTCGCAAATGTATCCACGCACAGTTGATATACTAAATAACTAATTAATTTAATGAGATGCTGCTCACAATTCTCTTATGCCCTATCTGGTTTGTCCCTGAGAGCATCTAGTTAACCAGTACTTTCAATTTATTGAGTTAGGACTGTCACCATAATGAGCCTTCCAAATGGCTGCCCATATCTATTGGACTCCCTTCTCCCTAGAGGTTTTCCAAAGCCCAACACTGAGCATCTTCTGGAAGCACTTCAGGACTTCAGCTGACTGTTGGAGACTAAGAAGATTGGGGTTTTAGGATGTACTTTAATTGGTCCTATTATTTTGTTAATTGGTTTGTTAATTCCAGTGAACCTTTAGAATTGGCACACTAAAAGTGTAATTGTACTTTTTTGGTCCCTGCTTCTTTACATTTCAGTGGAAATCCTAGGCAGCCGACAAAAGAAGGCTGAGGCACTGAAGAAGCTGACTGACGTGGCAGTCCGAATGTCAGAGGAGCAGTTGGTAGAGCTTAGAGCTGATATAAAGGTGAACCTCAGACTTATGTGGGCTATATGAGGATTGCCATATTATTAAGACAATTCTTATAAGTAGGTTGATGAGGCAGAGGTGAGGTCAAACTGGAAATTAAACTTACTATTCAGAAGATAAAGTCCCAGAGCCCCATATGGACTAAGTTCAATACCCTTGTATTCCTCTAGTGGAGAAGACAGCTTTAGCTGTATAGTAGAAGTACAGGCTTTGTATGTGGTTTTTGTCCTCATCCCTAACATCTTACCTTAAAATAGTTCTTTGCTACCTGTGCTGAGAAGAGCCTTTGCCAGAACCCTAGAATAAAGGGCTTGACTTGCTATTCAGGGTTGAATATAGTGGGCTGATTTCAGGGTTGTCCTTTCTGCATGTATTGCAAGGAATGTGCTGGTAGTAAAAATGCCTTTAAAGAACCTGTGGTTTTTGACAGAATCATGAGAACCAAGTTTTGTTTTATGTATGAAGCAGACTAATTCTGGAGCTCATAATAGTGCAAAGTTACTGAAGTTCCTGCATAATGCTAAGCATTATTCAGGTGGAACTCTACAAATCAGGCAGTGGTAAATGGTTATTTAACAAAAGTCTTTTGCATCATTGCTCCAGACAGGTCCCATAATCTCGTGGGATCCTGACAATTTTCTCTCTTACATCTTTTAACCAAATATTGTAATGCAAATGAAATGTACAGTGATTAATGAAATTGTTTTTTATTATATACATTTAACTTTTTTCAGAAAGATCTTTTATTTTGGTATCCTTTGCCTTATTTACAGGGGAATATTTTTACAGGGGAATATTTATAAACCTTTATCTGACCTTTCTTCAGGTTTATTCTTGCTTCAATAAAAGAAGAATCCGATTATCTGACCATAAAGAGGCAAACATGTTTATTTTACACAGCCTGAATGTGTGGTTCTGATAGGTGTCCCCTTTCTACCACAAGAGGGCAGAACAAAGTTATGTAAAAGTTTCCCCATGAACTGACTGGTAACTGCTATCCACCAGCAATGCTACAGATGGCATTTGGATTACTACTTTAACATCATCTATATAGATGTATGTATAAGGGATTCAAATGGTTTATTTTTCTTCGGCTGTATAAATGAGTCAGGAAAAGTAACATGCACTTTGTTGTAACCTTCCAAGCTGTGCCTCAGCTTGTGCCAAGAAATCTGTGCTTCAGTTTGTCTCCTTAAACCTTGCTTAGCATGAAACAATGTTGCCTTAACATGCCAATGTTTTTTCTCCTGCTCAGCACTTTGTTAGTGAGCGCAAGTATGATGAGGATCTTGGAAGGGTGGCTCGCTTCACTTGTGACCTAGATGCGCTGAAGAGGAGCATTGAGTCCTTTGGACAAGGTGAGTCAGGCTGGGTAGCCTGGGAAACTGCAAAAATAAACCAAGTAAACATTCATGGGATGGTCAAGTTGGATTGGATAAAATGGCTATAACGGATGGAATAGCTGTCACAAGGCATTGCTAAGTAAAATGGTAGATTTTCTTTGCAGGTCTGAGCTGGAAAGGCCCTCTCAGAATTTGTTGCATGAAGGGGTAATGGTTATACTTTCTCAAGGGCATTTTATTTTTAAATATAAATCTAAAATTAAAGACTTGCTCCTTTAATTATGCAAGTCTCTATAAAATCTGACCTCAGTTTCTTGTATTGCAAAGGTTGGGTAAGATTGCCTTGAATTACCATAAACTACTTATAAGAACTTGTCTTTGTTCCTTCTTCAGTTTCTCATCCAAAGAACAGTTATTCAACCAGATCACGGTGTAGTTCTGTCACTTCCGTATCTGTAAACAGTCCAGATGAGTCTACCACCACAGTGTGTGCCTCTGCTTCTTCTCCAAGCCTTATAACAGCCAATAAGAAACCATCTTCCCCAGCAGAAACCCCTGTAAATGAAACAAATCGCCCATACCAGCCCTACCGTGAGGTAAGGACTTTACACTGCCTGTTGCAATTGTCAACAGCATGGGATTGAGCATGCATGTGTTCTGGTTAAGGACCTTCAGTTGTAGTTCAAGTGTAAGTACATGTGGCCCTGCCTCTTCTACTGCAGTACCTTGAATGCATTTTTCCCTGTAAAATGGAAACTGTGTAGCAAGGTGGAGACTGCCACAACAGGTAAGACCAACAGAGTCTGGGCTCTTCCTGGCTTAGAAAAGGCTATGGCTCTCTATCCCACATTCCTGTTGCTGCTTTAGTTGCATGTAGGCAGTGCCAACTGACATTTTGGCAGGCCAAGTTTAGGCAGAGCCATGCTTCCCCTGGGCCAGGTGGAAACATGGAAGCTGTACTGTAGGGTTAAATGACGTCAAGCCTTGGAACATTTCCAAGGGTGCCACATGTTCCCCAGACTTGCTTCAGGCACATTTGCAATAGAGTAGTGTTATGGTGACCAACCGCAGCAGCACCTGTTGACATTAAACAGCTCCCCCCTCCCACACACACAACACACAGTCCTGACATTCATATGTCATCTTAAAACTTCTCCTTATACAGTGTTTCCCTGAAATGCAACCAAGCCAGCTGTGTTTTGTAGCACACAGAGTGTGAAGTTTTATTGCTGATTAATTTATATTTTGGTGATAAATAGCATTTATGCCATTGTATTTTACATTCTCTGCTTTGGAAATTTTATCGAGAGCAGAGCCCTGCAAGATGTTCTTGCTCTATTGATTTAGTGAATTTGTTGAGTGCGTGGAACAAATTCCATGGAATTCGTTAGTCTTAGCTCTGCTGAATGTGGCAAAATTTTAATAGCTAGCATAGGTATATCACACTGTGATTATTTCCATTTCAGGGGTTCCAAGGTAATAGAAGACCTAGTCAAGGTTACAGGACCCAAGGACGACAAAATGGGCCTTCTCATCCCAGTTCAAACCGGTACAGAAACGGGCCTTGGTATCAGTCCAACTCCAGGTCCCGGCCACCTTCTGGAAACTCAAACAATCTCAGCCAGACTCACTTCGCAGGACCCAACGGAACTGGTCCTGGTCCTGAATCAAGTCCACTAGCCCCATCTGCACAGGCATATTCGGGCCCACTCAGCAAAGAAGCCAAGGCCCTTCCACAGCGGAAACCTAGATCAAGCCAACATGAAGTGGCCAGTTCCTGAGGACCATGAACACTGCCATCTTCCAAAACTGGATAACAGGATTATAGAACACACCTAGCTAGAGATATTAACAAAGGAAAGTTTACACTTGCTGTCCCTGTGCCACTTTCTCTTCCCCATCATTCCATTCTGGGAAAGCAGCTTCCTAGTGCTTCTCCTACCCTTGCTTCCTGCTGTGTGACATGGGTCAGGCTTTAGTGGAAAAATGCACGCACTCTGTCCTGGTGTGGCCCTGGCAAACCACCTCTTGCCACCTCCTTTGCATTCTATGGCTCCTCGTGCTCTGGTGCAGCCCAAGAGCAGAAAGGAAGGGGGGATGTCTTCCAAGAGCCCCAGCCCTACCACCTCTGTCCCCCTTTCCTGAATGCTGATAGCCAGGCCTTACTTTAACAGCAAAGTTATTCATGCTGGCAATGAAACAAATTGCTGTGAATTGCAAAACCAAGATGAGAGATTCACATGGGAGGAGCCATAAGAGACTGGGGTGTTTGTTTTCTTTTTACATCTTACTGAAATACTATACTTGGGAATGCTGGGCTTGTATGTCTCTTCTATCAGAGGATGAGATATATCTGGTCCTCCTGGGAGAAGCAACATTCTGTCTGTCTGTCATGTATAAATTTAGATGTTCCCTATTTTCTTCTATTTTTTATTGTTCAGTAAGGGCTGGAAGTTTCATTTGTTCACTTCCCAGCCACAATCCCACCATCTGATCCTAAACTAAATTTCTAACAATTTAATTAGCAGTGCTAATCCTAGGTGATTGCAAACAAAAACAAGTTGCTACAATCTTTCTCTATCCTTGTATAAATAAAAGCGACGTACATGTTTAAAACAGTGTGGCTCCACTCTGCTATTTCTTCCCCTGAGAAAGAGTTTGTGGGAAATAATGAAGCTGTGGACTGATTAAATGAGGCCAGAGTTTGTCAAGTAAAATAGACTTCACCTGCTTCATTCTAGTTAACAAAGTATCTTGCCTGCATAGCAAGTAGAACTGGCATAATTCTGGTTCACTCACACAGTCTACATTTTCAATCTTGGTGCACCTGGCTGAGAAGCTGGAAAAATTATGAGACTTCTGACAGAAAAGGGGGGGAAACGCACAACAGGGAGCTGTTTTGGCTTTAGGCGCCTCATAATGCAGTGAACATGAATTGGGTGAACTCCGGGAAACAGTGGAGGACAGGAGGACCTGGCATGCTATGGCCCATGGGGTCACGAAGAGTCAGGACGACTGTGCAGCTGAACAACAACAACAGCCTGTGTCTTGAGAAGATGTGACTCTCAGGGGTTAAGTTGTTGCCCAGCCTCTGCCTCTGTGTTTATCTCACCCGAGGGCCCAGACTCCCACAGGTCTCTTGCCATAGGTACTGTAGCTCCCATCTCTGGAATTAGGTGTTGGCAGTCTCTGGAAGCACTTACTCCTTAGATGAAGGACATAAGAATCAGACATTTGTTTGATTGTCATTGGCCATTGTACGTTAATTTCATATCACTGGTGGCCATAATAGATATACCAGCAAGCAATACTGACAAAGAGCCACAGTTTCAGACAATCTCCACACCTCCTTAGCTGTATAACTTCCCTTTGTAATGTTTGACTTGGGGTGGGGGAGGTGTGGGGAACCTCACAGCAAGTGTCAGAGCCAACAGTAGAGAGCTTGATGTTTTGCAGCACTGAAGTCAAATAAGTCAGCTTATGCCAGCTTTCCTAGTCCGTGGTAGTTTGCCAGTGTGGTATCTGAGCCAGCACACTGGCAGGAAGATGCAAACTGACTCATTTACTGTGAAGGTACAGAGAGAAATGATGTCTTTTCCATGGTGTATAGAACCCCCTAAACTAGCTTATTTGATTTATCTTGATCAATATACTTAAGAGTGAAGGTCTGCATGTTTAGGCAGAAGAAGTTGCTATGCCTCCAAGCATAGCTGACTGGGGCCTGTTGAGTGTTGTAGGAGTTTCTATTTTTTTTTACAGCTGAGGATGCATAGGATTGCACCCTGAAGCTGAAACGAGAATGAGATATTTGGAAAGTAACAGCCTATGGCTTTGTGAAGTAAATGTAGATAATTCAGCTTGATAAACTTACTAAAGTTCTCATGAGTTAAACATCTACGAGGCATACTGTGAAGGGCTCCTACTTGCCAGTTGCCATGCAGAGACTGAACCGACACAATAGGCGCAAGCAGTCAATAAATAGCACCAGGGTGAAAGAATGGTCAGTGGCTGTACGTAGTGTACATGCTCCCATTATAGCAGTAACATCAGGACAGATTATGGCAGCCATTATTCTTTGAATGATCCTGCAAAACAGATGCAAAGTGATCACAAAGTGTGTGTGTGTGTCTTCCAACTGGCATTCAAATCATTGGCATGATGAAATAATTCAAGGTTATATTTTTAGCCTGCTTGATCCTGAAAATCCAGAGCAGGAAATGGTAATATTAACCAGTTGTAAATTGTGATCCAAGTGATTTCTACAGCCAGGTGGAAAATGCCAGGCAGCCAGAAGTTTCTTTGAAGTTAGCACCACTTGCTGAAGAAGCTTCCCAATGCAAATGGTTGCAGTGGAAAAGTTTGTGCCATCTGCATGTGTCTTCCCCATGTGTGGGAGAAAATATGGAAACAAAGGGGAAAAGTGCCTGATGGGGATGTTATTGCCCTATATGTTTCATGGATGTAAATTTCTTCCTTCAGGTACCAATAGTCAGCTGTCTGTTTGCTTTCTCCCTCACACGTGTCTTCCTCATGTGTAGAGCCAGCTTTATTGAACTGTGGCAATAGAGCAAGAGTAGGAAAACCAGTGGTCCTCCAAATGTTGATGGACTGCAACTTCCATCATTCCTCATCATTGGCCAGGTTACTAAGGACTGGATTCCTGCAATAAATAGAGTTCTCAGTGTTGGTGTCCCTACTAGCCAGGTGACTTACAGACCCACTAAACCAAGTGCCAATGAGGTTCAGCCAGGCGGAGATTAATTCAGTGTCTTTATTCAGCTGAGCAAAGCAACCGGGTGTCCGCTTCCTACATGCAGGCAGGCAGGCAGCACAACCCCACATCTCAGCAACTACTCCTCACAGCTTTTTTCCTTACTTTTTCCGCACACAATCTCAACCCCATTGTTCCCTCACCCAATCCCCTCCCAGGGTCCGCCTGACCCTTTGCCCAATCTGCAGGTCCACTGCATGCCTGGCCTCCTGCAGGCCCCTTATCTACGTCCATTCCCTTCACGGGAGCGTGATCGCCGGGTGCCAGTCCTTCCATGGGGGGTCTCACTCACTGCCTCTTTATCAACATTATTTTGCCTTCCCTTTTTCCTCTCCAAAGCAAGCAGTTCTACAGAAAGCAAATGGCATTTGTTAGGCTAAAAGCAAATAACATTAGTTAAGCTAATCATGCTCCTTCGCTCAGTCCTCTAATGAAGAAAATACAACAGTAGAATTTTGGTTAGGATGCTTTTCATGTACTCTTTCTTAAAATCGTCAGCCACAACTCAATGAAAAATGGTTTGAAAAGAATGAGTAACCTGGATAGCACAACAGAATTTTTGGAGCAATTATATTTAGAGTGCAGTCCTGATTTGGGTCCTTACATGTATCTAGTGAGCTAGTGCACTAGTGGAAATTTCTTCTGTCCCTATACCTCACGCTGTATTTTATTTAGATGGCCATTTAGGTTAAGTGCAAGGGAGAGGGAGGGATGGAGGCTGGGGCACCGATAGAAACTGGTGTGTTTGGCCACAGCTTCCTCCTGCCCCTTTTCGTCCTCTCTGAGGCCCACTTCTTTTCATGGCAACTGAGGAGGGCAGGGCAAGGGCTCAGCCTTCAGCATCCCAATTCCGAGGTCAAAGGACCCCAGAGCTGGGGCTCCTAAAAAATCCTATGGCCTCCCTAGACAACACTGGGAGGCCATGGGATTGTACTCCCAATGTACAAGTTCAAGAGGACAGATCTAATTTACCTCAAATAAGATATACCAAGTACATTCAGTCCTCACTCTCCTGCTCTATCCTGGCTAAATTGAGACATTCACAGAATGGAAAACCTTTTTAAATGTTAACGTCTTCACCTGGATTTTCATCAGGTCTAAAGAAGCTCTTCCTATTTAAATTTCAGGTGGGAAAAGCTGTCACTTGGGGTGTGGTTAAGAGTGGGTCAGGAAGTCTGAGCCTCAAAAGTTACCTCAGCAGGACTTGTTATGTGGCCTAAATCCCTAACTACTTCTCTCTTAGCTTCGGCCCTCCTACACAACCCAGATATGGAGATAATAATTAGTCTGCTTTACACACATGTGAGGCTTGTTGAACTAATGTAAGTGAAGTGCTTTCGAACAGTTGAAATGTATTATTTCAATGATGATCCCTGACAGTGTAATTGTATCCTCTAGTTATGTCTTCTGGAGGAAGATAGGCCTGCAGCATAGTCCCCCCTGCTGGCATAATTCAGAATAATGTAATGCTATTGTAGCTGCTACACTACAACCAGGTGTAAAAAGGTAGATTGGAGGCAAGCAGGAGAGGATGGGACCAGTGGCCAACATATTCCAAATCCTGTCTTCCCCCAAATCCCTGCTGGTGTAAAATTCTGACAGCAATACAGCAGCCAAAGGTAAATCACTATCATGAGGATAATCGAGATAACTGCCTCTTACCCACCCCTTTTCCACTCTACAATGCAGCACATGACTTGCTTTGCAGCCAGTGAGCACATCTCCAGCACTGGGGGGCTGCAAACCCTGATGGGGATACTGGTGCTGCCTTGAGATGCATGTGCTTGCTGTGTCCCCACCTCTACATCTAAGTGGGGACTTTGGTGAAAGGGTACTCTGCACGGAAAGCAAGCAGACAAGAAGAATAAATGCAGGGAGGGCGGATAGTTAGCACTTGTCCCAGAATCCTTACAGGTACTTTTCCAGAGGATGCAACACTCAAATTCCTAACTAGCGCTTCAGTTCCACTGGGATCTCAAAGACAAGCTGCCACATAAAGCCAAGGCTGAGATAGATCTTGCCTCGAAGTTTGGCTCTGCTTCCTTCAGCCTTTCCCCAAAGCAAGAGGAAGTGCACAGGTGCTACATCCAGTTAATGCTCAACCTGCAAGGGCTAAGGGGAATAAAGCCACCTTATTGGCAAATGCCAGCTCTTGGCACTGCCTGCTAAATAGCCATGGTGACATAGCCTTCCTTGAAGGGTGAGATTCATGGTAGAAACAAGCAGCAAGCACAAGATGGAACTGTTTGCAACTTCCTCCAAGAGTCCTGTAGGTATTGCCCTGACAGCAGCTTATTCCCTCCTGACAGGAGCACCTGCAGATCCAAGCCTTAGTGAGTATATTAGGTGAACACACCTAATATACTCACGCCCCATGGGAGAGAGGGCAGCTGGGCTGAAGGGGTACAGAAGGCGGGCACCTGGGTAATGTCACCCATTCACAGTTCCTCATTCAGCAGTGCTTAATGAGCAGCTGTTGCCTGTTACTCCTGACTACCAACTCCCTTTCTTCTTGTTCCTATTCAGCGTGCAAAGAGGCAATGGATTCCCCTTCTTCCCTCCACCACTTTGTGCGGTACAGACCACTAGTGAGGAACCAGTTGCTTCTGTGCTTGCTTTTTTTTTTTTTTTTTTAATGGTGGGGACGCCCTGTGCTCTTGAGTCAAACAGTAGTGTGGTAGGTGCAGGGCTATCTACCAGGGGAGGCAGCAGTACGGAAAGCTACACTCTGCCATATAATGTTGAAAGACAGAGGGAACTAGCTAGACTAAAATAAGTGGTCATCATTCATGCTTGCCCATGTTGCTTTAAAAACTCTGAGTGATACTGATGGCCCTTCACTGCAGG